GTTCTATTGCAGTCTCAAAGAGCCAATTATGTCTATATTAATAACTTTTCAAACTTCCATTCTTCCTGAAATCAAGGTTGTTTTCTTTTCTCCTTTTTTGTTCTATTTCCCTCCCTTTCCCCAACCTATTGAAGTTTAGTTTTATTTACAAGATCCGGTTTCTTGAAAGATTTCAAGTTTCCCTATGTTAGTCCTGTCATCGGGCATTCATCAAATGTTTATGTTTCTTTAAATCTGGATGAGAGGGTCCCCAATTTACTTTTAACCACAAATGAAGATATTTGGAAGCATGGGATAGTTACAGAATTGAAGAATGAACCTTCTTAAAATTAAATTCTTTTTGAAGGGCATGATCTGTTATCATGAGACAGAAGTGGCATTGAACCATCAGATTTCTTGACACAGAATCTCCTATCTAATTATATCACCATGTGTCTCAACCTATTCATTCACCTAGATAGTCAATAACATTGGTCCATCATACATCACTGATACACACAACCCGCTAGAGTTCACCACTCCTCGTTGGATTATTGAAGGAAATAATTTCAGGGACTGATGATTTTCACTCAAAGTTTCATTCATCCAAAAAAAAAAAAAACATTTATCAAGCACCTATGGTGTTAGAACTAATAATACTGTAACAAGTAGTGCAAAATATACATAAGGTCCCTGGTCTCATTGAGTTTGTAGTCTAGTAAGAAGAAAAAACATATAAAATGGTAACTGTCATACTATACATGTTATGCACTATACACTATTAATAATACATGTTAAGTATATGAGAGTTAGAAAACAAAGTGCTATATAAGATTTTTACTAACTGGAGGAAATCAGAGAAAGCCTCCACAGGAAAAAAAAAGGTGGCATTTAAATTAGATTGTAAAAGATGGGTAGGAAATTTAACAGGCAAGAAAGGGGAACTAGGGAAATCCAGACATGAAGAAAAATATATGCAAAGGCATGGGGATAGTAGAACATGAAACATATTTGTTTGTGGAACAGAAATTAATCCAGTTTGTAGGAAACATAAAGTGTGTGCCGGGGTACCTCTTATCAACTGGAGAGGGCTGATTGTTAAATTCTCAATATGAGCATTTACACTTTGAAAATCAGCAATTACTACAAATCAGAGCTTGATTTATTGTTTTGTTGATTATCTATACTTAAGAAAGTAGTGAAGAAAATTGTTAATAATGCAGATTAAACTTAAAAGTGTGTCAAGTGGGTTTAGGAGAGCCAATCAGGGAATCAATAAACATTTAAGTGCCTACTGTGTACCAGTCATTGACTTCAGTGCTGGGGATACAAAAAGAGGCAAAATATAGCCCCTGCCCTCAAGAAGCTTACAGTCTAAAATGGGGATACAAACAAATAAATAAAAAGCAAACTCTATACAGGATAAATAGGAAATAATTAACAGAGGGAAGGCACTGAAATTAAGAGGGGTTGGTGAAGGCTTTCTGTAGAAGATGAGATTTGATTTGGGACTTAACGGAAGTCAAAGAGGTCAGAGCAGAGCGGAGAAAGCATTCCAGGCCTGGGGGACAGCCAGGAAAAAATGACCAGAGCCAAGAGCTTGAGTGACTTGTTCATAGAAGAGCCAGTTGCTAAACATTTACCAGCATACCACTTGTAGAGGGGAATTATATAAGATTATAATAGCATTGTGGCACTAATTTTGGAGGGTCTTGAATGCCAACAAAAGTTTGGACTTTATTCAGTAAGCAATGAGGAGTCAAAAAAAAATTTTGAGCAGATCCATGGGTAACAAAAGATCTAGAAAAAGAGTATTTGAAGGTAAGAAAATCATGGAAATGGGAAGACCTATTAGGAAGTTTTTATAGTATAAGAAGATGTTGATGAGTCTGTACTAGTTTGGAGTCAATGAGAGTAGAAAGGGGAAGAATTCTGGAGATGGTGACAGTTCCTACTAAAAAAGGTTAACATGGGAGCTTTAGCTTTTTACATGGTGAAAGGATAATATCCACTAGAGCTTCAGAACTTAGAAAAAATGTGAATGGGAATGCAGCACAAATTCTTTTAGATCTAGCCCAAAGACAAAATTGCACAAATAAGCTTTTCAGCAAAAAGTTTCAAAGCAGTTAAAGCAATTCTGGAAGATAAAAAAGTAATGCCGAACAGCTGGAGAGCTCTCTAAGACTCTTGAACTTCAATGGTTGAAATCCATCCTACCCTCCTTTCATCCATGAGTTCTGAATTGTACAGGATGTTCTAGCATTCTCTTGAATTTTTAATATTATTGTGAGCTACCCAAGGGCATGTCCAGGAGCCTATTCATTTCTTAATGGGAAAGACTCTTAATCATTTCCTATTAAGAGAGCAAGACAACCATGATAATATTAATGAAGATTTTACTGGGCTGTTGGGAGAAGGCAGGACATTTTTAGGTAGAAGCTGATGACAGAGAAGCTCTAGGGATTTGGGAGTATACTTAGTGTCATTGAAGCAAAGAGAAGGAGTCAGAATAACAGGCTTTTTTTTCTGCTGCTGCTTTCTTTTCCGGCCTCAGTAAAGAGTGTAGTGAAGCCTAGGAAAACAATGGTTTTAGAAAAACACTTCTGGCCATAAAGCCCATGAAATGACGACGTTTAGGTGCAGAATGTGATGCCTATCTTTGAATATTTAAAGAGCTATCACAAAGAAAGGGAATTAGAGTCATTCTACATCTCTCCTCAGTGGGGAGAACTAGGACCAATATGTAGACATCACAAGGAGATGCAAAGAAGTGTGGAGGAGGCAGAACGGACCTTTGGGAGGCCTCCAAGGAAATGGTGATTCATTGCTTGGGCTTTGGGGTGGGGGAGAGGATGAAAACCTCCCAGATTACTTCTCTGGACTCCATCACCTCTCCCAACATGGAGCATGGCCTCAACTGATGCTTATACCTGGGTCCCTTGGGCAGAGTTCTACCTTTTCTGTGTTTCTTCTTTCCTAATCTTAGGGGAATTAGTACCTCAAGGACCTTTTAAGTTTAAAAGATGTTCAATGATTCTAACCAATGAGTGTGAGAAAAGAGAGCCCTCTCTCACTAGAGTCAAGCTCCCCAGGATTAAATCTGGCCTAGTCACATGGTTTGGTATATGACAGAAAGAGAGAGACAGGTACCCTAGCCCCTATGGACTCAGCGGCAGTGTTAGATAAGAAAGAACTTATCAATTCGAGCATCCATTTTTTGGATTATCTTAAGAAGGCTGAGGTCTGTATGACTCAAGTTAGCACAAGGTTGCATACAGCATATACATCTGTAGTATTTAGTAAATGTTTCTTGAATTGATTTTAATGTTGTAGTAGTGGTATTTGATTAAACCGTCTCTAAGTTCACATCTAATTCTTAAGTTCTCTCATTACTAGAACTGAGGTGACCCATATGTGCTGATGATCCAATGTTGGATTTTTATGATCCTTTTTTTTATGATCCTTTGAAAATTCAGCTGAAATAAGTGATGCATGAATAGAGGAGACTGTTACTGTGCTAGAAGAAACGTGAATTTGAAGAATACAGAGAAGCATGGTAAAACTTATATGAACTGATACAAGTGAAATAAGCAGAACAGAGTGGGGGAGGGGAGAGGGGAAATCCACAGTCACTATAAGAAGGCAAATGGAAGAAAAAAAACAATAAAAATAAAAATCTGAAGTATAATTATATCCAAGCTTGACCCTGAGGAAGAGAGGAGAAAATACAACTCCCTCCCTTCTTTGCAGAGGTGAGGGAGCTATGGGTATAGAATATTGTATATGCTGTCAGTCTTGACTGATGAATTGCTAGTTAATTTATGAAATTATGAAATGGGGCAGGCACATGTGGTTCTTTGGGTACTCACTGAGAAAGACCACAGTGGCAGTGGGAAGTTAGGCAGCAAACACACTTTAATAAGATATAGAGGGTGAAAGGGAAAATGGGCACAGAAAGTATAGAGACAAGCAGTGAAAGGGATACAGAGGCAAATGGTGTGGAGATGGGGATGGAGTGGTGAAAGAAGGCAGGCAGCAATGGGAAAGAGGCTGGGAGGGGGAGTAGCACAGATAATCACCCATGAAACCATGAGTAAAAGTTGGGAGCATTCAACAGCATGGACACAGATGGAGATCAAAGAATGCTTAGGAGGAAAGAGTTTGGAGTCTCGTTTTTATAGTTTTGATGGGAAACATACTTTTATCTGTACCACCCTGGGATTCATTCATTAACATATTCAAATCTTCTCAAAGTTGTTGGTAAAACATTAAAGTTAACATATCTACATCATCTCAAGGTTATCAGCACCATTTGGAGTTCTCTGGTCTTTTGGAACTTGTCAGAGATTTACAAATCATAGGAATAAAAGGTCCCAATAGCAAAGTCAAGATGGCATCCCCTGATTCAACATATATTGCCAGGATGTGACTTTTGGTTGATATATGATATAATTTGTAAATTATCCTCTTTTGACCTTTGGGATAGTTTGTATGTGACTTCTAGGTTCCCCTTTGCACTTTTACTTCAGGCTATTGCTACTTTATACTGGCTAACTTACTATGCTGACTAGAAGAGGGTAAAGGATGGTCAGGAGGACCGGAACAAGATACAAATTTAATACAGCCGATGGATCAGTTTTACTGAATTCTTCCGTCCCCCCATCCCCAACCCTTTTTTGTTCTGTGTTACCAGGGATGACTCTCTGGTAAGGAAGCATTAAGGGATATATTTGGAAATGAAAACCGTGTAAGACAAAGAATATCAATAAAAAATTAAGTTGCCCAGCAACAAAAAGAAAAGATGCAGCACTTTCAAAAATAAACAACCCATACTAATAGAACCTGACTACCAATGATATATTGTGTGAAGAAAAGCAAATAGTTCAGATCCAAGTGTCCAAGAGAATATGAAAATTTTCCAAGATGGTGCTACAGGGTAATTCTTATCTTCCCACAGGAAAACATGTTAAACATCCACCATGAATTTCCCTAAACAAGTATGAAAGAAACTGTTACCATACCTTTAATATGTGTTTGTTGGATTCTCTGTCATCAGGTGAAACATACAAACGGATGAACACAGAGTTACTGTATTGTCCACGGAACACCACAAGGGTCTGAAGGAGACTGAACTTCCTTTCCGACCACATGCCTTCTGGACCAATGTTAGATTCTAACACAGGCCAGCGGAAAGGGGAGTGTCTCAATATGTGTAACAGTGGCTTAGCATCAGCTTTCTCTATCGCCTCTGGAAGGGAAAGAAGGTACAAAGAAACCAAGCCAGAGTTGTTGATTTGTTCCCTTAAGAGGAAAAGCACTAATTATTTGACTTTAATCCGTTTACTACCAGGGCATTAGAGCCTGGAACCTCAGGCTTAAAGCGCAGATAAGTTTTAGTTACAAAAATGCTTATTACTTCAGGAGAAGAATAGGCTGTGACTTGTACTTAATGTAATCATAATTCATGTCATTTATTCCAAGAGAGATGCCTGGGGAAATTGTCTCCCTTAAAAAATATCCCAATGCTCCAATACTCCAATGGATCTCTTCATTGTAGGTATTCCCTCCAATGGTGTAGATTGCAATCCATCTATACCTGCCCATTCTATACAACTCACCCCTTTCTGTGTGCTCCAAAAAATTTGCTATAATGGAGCAAGGGAATAAAGTAAAATAGGGGACAACCCCTAAAAATAAAAGACTTTTTTCCCTTCCTAAAATATTCAGGACCATATAATGATCTCTACCTAAATAAAATGCTGGATCACAGCAGGAGACAGTACTATATATATTCTAATAATGAACAAACCATACCAAAGGAATAAATTGCTCACTTCATGTATTGTAAGTGCTCATTAATTCTTTTTGAAGCTTAATTTTTAATTAATAACCATTTGTTTTCTCTCCTTCCAACCTCCTCTATCCCACCTCTTGATATTGGGGGGGGGGTTGGAAAGAAGAAGAAAAACAAATAGACATAGACAAGCAAAACCATTGTTTTGTTATTGATGTGGTCTATTATGATGATAGTTTTCCTAATATTGAACCAGCCCTGCACTTGTTGTCATATGAATCCCATCTGGTCACACTATATGATCTTTGTTATATATTGGTGTAATCTCCTTGCTGATATTTTATTTAAAATTTTTGGATCAATACCAATTAGAAAAATTGGTCAATAGTTTTCTTTCTCTGTTTTTACTCTTCCTGGTTTAGGTATGAGCACCATATTTGTGTCATAAAAAGAATTTGGTAGGACACCTTCTTTGTCTATTTTTCCAAATAGTTTATATAGTAGTGGAATTAATTTTTCTTTAAAAGTTTGGTAGAATTCACTTGTGAATCTATTAGGCCTTAAGGATTTATTCATAGAGAGTTCATTTATGGCTTGTTCAATTTATTTTTCTAAGACAGAATTATTTAAGTATTCTATTTCCTCTTCTGTTAATCCAGACAATTTATGTTTTGGTAAATATTCATCCATTTCATGTAGATTGTTAGATGTATTGGTATAAACTTGGGCAAAATAGCTCCTAATAATCTGTTTTCATTTTATCTTCATTGGTGGTGAATTCACCCTTTTCATTTTTTATACTGGTAACTTAGTTTTCTTTCTTTTTTAAATAAAATTAACCAATGGTTTATCTATTTTATTAGTTTTTTTTTTAAACAAAACCAGCTCCTGGTTTTACTTATTAGTTCAATGATTTTCTTACTTTCCATTTTAATAATATTTTCTTTGATTTTCAGGATTTCCAATTTGGTGTTTAATTGGGGATTTTAAATTTGTTCTTTTTTTTAGTTTTTTAGTTGCATGTCTAATTCATTGATCTACTCTTTCTCTATTTTATTGATCTAAGCATTTAGAGATATAAATTTTCCCCTAAGTACTGCTTTAGCTGAATCCCATGAATTTTAGTATATTGTCTCATTGTTGTCATTCTCTTTAATGAAATTATTGATTCTTTCTATGATTTGTTCTTTGACCCACTCATTCTTTATGATTATATTATTTACTTTCCAATTACTTTTTAATCTGTATTTCCACAGATCTTTATTGAATGTCATTTTTATTGCATTATGGTTTTTAAAAATGCATTTAATAATTCTGCTTTTCTGCATTTTGTTGTGAGGTTTTTATGCCCTAATACATTATCAGTTTTTGTGAGGTTGCCATGTACAGCTGAGAAAAAGGTATACTCCTTTGTCTTTTCATTCCATTTTCTCCAAAGGTCTATCATATCTAACTTTTCTAAAGTTTTATTAATCTCCTTACCTTCTTTCTTTTTTATTTTATGGTTAGGTTTATCTAGTTCTGAGAGAAGAAAATTGGGGTCCCCCACTAGTATAGTTTTACTATTTCCTGCTGTAACTCATTTAACTTTTCCTTTAAAAATCTGGATTCTATGTCATTCGATACATATATGTTTAGTATTGATATTACTTCATTGCCTATGATACCTTTTAGCAAAATGTAGTTTCCCTGATTATCTCTTTAATTAGCTCTCATTTTGCTTTTGCTTAATCTGAGATCACGATTGCTGCCCCTGGTTTGTTGTTGTTGTATTTTTACATTGGCTAAAGTATAATAGATTCTGCTCCAGCCATTTATTTTTACTCTGTGTGCCTCTGTTTCAAGTGTGTTTCTTATAAACAACATATTATTGGATTCTGGTCTTTAATCCATTCTGCTATGCATTTCCATTTTATGAGTGAGTTCATCCCATTAATATTCACATTTATGATTACTGTGTATTTCCCTCCATTCTATTTTTTCTCTGTTTTTCCTTCTCTGTCCCTTCTCAAAAGTCTGTTTTGCTTCTGACAACTGCCTCCTTTAATACACCTATCCTTCTCTTAGCACCTCCCTTTATCCCTTTCTCTTCCTACTTCCCTGTAGGGTAAGACAGATTTCTATACCTAATGGAGTGTGTATGTTATCCCCTCTTTGAGCCAATTCCAATGAGAGTTCAAGCATTGTTGGCCACCACCACCCTATCTGCCCCTCCACCCAAAGAGATCTTCTTTTCTTGACTCTTTTTTGGAAGATAATTTTCCCCATTCTACCTGTCCTTTCCCCCTTCTCCCAGTGTACTCATCTCTCTCATGCACTAATTTTTTTTAATATCTTACCATAGTCAACTCGTACTTGTGTCCTTTGTCTATGTATACTCCTTCTAACTAATAATGAGAAAGTGCTTAGGAGTTACAAATATCATCATCTCATATAGGGATGTAAATAATTTAACCTTATTGAATCCCTCATGATTTTGCTTTTCTGTTTACCTTTTTATACATCCCATGAGTCTTTTATTTGAAAGACAAATTTTCTACTCAGCTCTGGCCTTTTCATGAGGAATGTTTGAAAGTCTTTCATTTCATTGAATATCCATTTTCCCACTGAAGGATTATACTTGGTTTTGCTGGGTAGGTGATTCTTGGTTGTAATCCTAGTCCCTTTACCTTCCAGAATATCATATTTCAAACTCTCTGATCCTTTAATGTAGAAACTACTAAATCTTATGTTAGCCTGACTGTGGCTCCACAGTATTTGAATTGTTTCTTCCTGGTTGCTTGCGATATTTTCTCCTTGACCTGGGAGCTCTAGAATTTGGCTGTAATATTCCTGGGAATTTTCATCTGGGGATCTCTTTCAGGAGGTGATCAGTGGATTCTTTCCATTTTTATTTTATCCTCTGATTTTAGGATATCAAGCAGTTTTTCTTGAGAATTTATTTTTTTATTATGGTAATTTTTATTTATTTTTTTTGTTTTCAACATTTACTTCCACAAGATTTTGAGTTCCAAATTTTCACCCCATCTCACCCCTTCCCCCACCCCAAGATGGCATGCATTCTGAATACCCCTTACCCTAGTCTGCCTTCCCTTCTATCTCTCCCCCCTTCTCTTATCCCCTTCCCTTTCAATTTTCCTATAGGACAGGATGGATTTCTGTATCCCATTTCCTGTATTTCTTATTTCCTAGTTGCATGTGAAAACAGTTTTTAAAACATGTGTTTTTAAAACTCTGGGTTCCAAATTTTCTCCCTTCCTCCCTCCCCACCCACCCTCATTGATAAGGCAAGCAACTAAATATAGGTTATATATGTGCAGTTATGCAAAACACTTCCATAGTAGACATGCTGTGAAAAACTAACTCTATTTCCCTTAATCCTATCCCCCCCCATTTATTCTATTCTTTCTTTTGACCCTGACCCTCCTCAGAAGTACTTGCTTCTGATTACCCCCTTTCCCAATCTGCCCTCCTCTCTATCATCCCCCTACTCTCTTGTCCCCTTCCCCTCCTATTTTCCTGTAGAGTAAGACAGATTTCCATACCCAATTGAGTGTGTATGTTGTTCCCTCTTTAAGTCAAATTCTATGAGAATAAGATTCACTCATTCCCTCTCACCTTCCCCCATTTCCCCTCCGCTGTAAGAGCCTTTTCTGGTTTTGTTTTTTTTTTGTAAGATAATTTACCCCATTCTACCTCTCCCTTTCTCCTTCTCCTAGTATAATCCTCTCTCACCCCTTAATTTTTGCTCCAGATATGACCCTTTCATTTTCAACTCATCCTGTGCCATCTATCTATCTATCTATCTATCTATCTATCTATATATATATATATATATAATATATATATATACATATAACTTTTTCCCCTCCAACTACCCTAATACTGACAAAGGTCTCATGAGTTACAAATATCATCTTTCCATGCAGGAATGTAAACAGTTCAACCATAATAAATCTCCTATGATTTTCTCTTTCCTGTTTACCTCTTCATATTTCACTTGAGGCTTGTATTTGAAAGTCAAATTTTCTATTCAGCTCTGGTCTTTTCATCAAGAATGCTTGAAAGTCCTCTATTTTACTGAATGACCATTTTTTCCCCTGCAGCATTATACTCAGTTTTGTTGGGTAGGTGATTCTTGGTTGTAATCCTATCTCCTTTGCCCTCCAGAATATTATATTCCATGCCCTGCGGTCCCTTAATGTAGAAGCAGCTAAATCTTGTGTTATCCTGATTGTGTCTCCACAAAACTTCAATTGTTTCTTTCTGGCTGCTTGTAATATTTTCTCCTTGACCTGGGAACTGGCATTTGACTACAATATTCCTAGGAGTTTTCCTTTGGGGATCTCTTTCAGGAGGAGATTGGTGAATTCTTTCAATTTCTATTTTGCCCTCTGGTTTTAAAATATCAGGGCAGTTTTCCTTGATAATTTCTTGAAAGATGATGTCTAGGCTCTTTTTTTGGTCATGGTTTTCAGATAGTCCAATAATTTTTAAATTCCCTCTCCTGGATCTATTTTCCAGGTCAGTTGTTTTTCCAATGAGATATTTCACATTGTTTTCTAATTTTTCATTCTTTTGGATTTGTTTTACGGTATCTTCATTTCTCATAAAGTCACTAGCTTCCAATTGTTCTTTCCTAATTTTTAAGGAAGTATTTTCTTCAGTAAGCTTTTGGACTTCCTTTTCTATTTGGCCAATTTTGCTCTTTAGGGCATTCTTCTCCTCATTGGCTTTTTGGACCTCTTTTGCCATTTTGGTTAGGCTATTTTTTAAGGTATTATTTTCTTCAGTATTTTTTTGGATCTCCTTTAGCAAGCTGTTGACTTGCTTTTCATGATTTTCTTGCAAAACTCTCAGTTTTTCCTCTACTTCTCTTACTTGCTTCTCAAAATCCCTTTTGAATTCTTCCAAGGCCTGGGACTGATTCATATTCTTCTTGGAGGTTTTGGATGTAGGAGCTTTGACTTTGTTGTTTTCTGGTTGTATGTTTTGATCTTCTTTGTCACCAAAGTAAGATAATATAGTCTGACTCTTTTTGCACTGCTTACTCATGATCCCAGCCAATTACTTGAGTTTTAAACTCTTTGTTAAGGTAAAAGTCTGCTTCCAATGTGGAGAATGTACTGTCCCAGACTTTGGGGATTTGTACAGCTGTTTTCAGAGGTACTTCTAGGGACCTGAAAATTTTCACTTCTTCCAAGGTGCTATGATAAGGGGCGAGGTGTTTTTTCTCCATTGCCACAACAAGCTTCACCTCACCAGCCCTCCTCCTCGCCCCAGGACCGCCCCTCAGAACTGTGACCCAGCTCCAAGCACCGGTAAAGCAAGAGATTCCTGCCTCAGCACTGCAAAGAGATCCCTGAAATCCCCCTCTGATCAGCCACTTGATTCCCCCTCAGTCTGTGGGCCAGAAGCTCAGGAAACAGCCACAGCCCTGGGGGTGGCTGAGACCTAGCTCCTTCTCTTACCGCACTCACAGACTTTTCCCACTGACCTTCTAAGTTGTCTTTGGCGTTCATGGTTTGAGAAGTCTGGAAACCGCCACAGCTGCCCGCAATTCAGTCCTCTGAGGCCTGCTCCAGGGTCGCTGCAGCCTGTGCGCCCGCACTGAATTGCACTCCTCTCCCCTCCCAGCGCAATATACCTTTCTGATCAACCATCCAGGCTGTCTTTGGCTGGAAATTTGTTTCACTCTGTCTTTTTGTGGGTTCTGCTGCTTTAGAATTTGTTTAGAGCTGTTTTTTATAGGTATTTAGAGGGTTTGGGGGGAGAGCTCAAGCAAGTCACTGTTTCCCTCTGCCATCTTGGCTCCGCCCCTTGATAATTTATTGAAAGACGATGTTGAGGCTCTTTTTTTATCATGGCTTTCAGATAGTCTAATAACATTTAAGTCATCTGTCCTGAATATATTTTCCAGATAGTTGTTTCACATTTTCTTCTATTTTTTTCCCTCTTTTGATTTTGATTTATTATTTCTTGATGTCTCATGGAGACAATAGCTTCCATTTGTCCAATTCCAATTTTTTTTCTTTTTGGTGAGGCAGTCAGGGCTAAGTGACTTGCCCAAGGTCACACAGCTAGTAAGTGTCAAGTGTCTGAGGCCAGATTTGAACTCAGGTCCTCCTGACTCCAAGGTCAGAGCTCTATCCACTGTACCACCTAGCTGTCCCTTTGATTCCAATTTTTAAGGAACTATTTTCTTCAGTAAGCTTTTTTACCTATTCTTCCATTTGGCCAATTCTGTTTTTTAAAGAGTTCTTCTATGCAGTGGATTTTTGTGCCTCTTTTACCATTGGCAAATTCTGTTTTTTAAGGTGTCATTTTATTAAGCAATTTTTGTGCCTTTTTTACTACGTTGTCAATTCTCTTCTTGTAATTTTCTTACATCACCCTCATTTCTCTTTCCAATTTTTCCTCTATCTTTTGTATTTAATTTTTAAAATTCTTTTTGAGCTCTTTAAGGAATTTTTCTTGGGCTTGTTTCCTATTCACATTTTTTTTTTGAAGTTTTGTTTGTAGCTATTTTGACATCACTGTCTTTTTCTGACTTTGTGTCTTGATCTTCCTTATCACCATAGTAACTTCTTATGATCAAGTTCTTTCTTCTTGTTGTTGTAGTTTGCTCATTTTTCCAGCCTGTTTCCTGTCTTTTAACTTTATGTTAAAGTTGGACTCTGCCCCTGGGTTGGAGGGGGCACTGTTCCAAGCTTCAGGTTTTTTGTGCTACTCTTTCAGAGTCAGTTCTGGGGGTCTGTAAGTTTTGGCACTCCTGAGGTGATATGATCTAAGGAGAGGTGGTGGTCACTGCTCTCCTAGCCTGTCCTCTAGTCTTTATCTAGGAGGGAACCTTATTCTCCTGCAGCCACAAGCACAATGCTCCTTTTTGCATCTGTTGCACTTGTAAGCAACCATAAGTACTGTTCTCTGCCCTGGAATTGTGACTAGGGCCCCTGTTCCCCTGAGGCAGCAAGTGCTACTTCTCCTCCTAACCCTAGGACTGGAACCCACAACTGTGTTTGGGTAATCCAATAGGATCTTGAACCCAGCACCAGCAACACAACCCTGTAATCTCTTTCTGACCAGTTGTCTGACCCCCTTACTGTTTGTGGGCTGAGAGTTCCTGAAGCTATTGCTGTCACTGATACAACTGCCTCTAAGACCTATCGCTGGCCTTGCCAGGCATGGCCTGTGCTATGCTCAGGGTCTGATCACCACCGTGATGTGACAGATCTTTCCTAACAACCTCCTAAGTTATCTTGGGCTGGAAAATTGTTTCACCCTGACCTTTTGTTGGTCTTCCACTCCAGAAATCAATTTGAGGCATAATTTTAAAGTTGTTTGGAGGGGAATTTGGGAGAGTTCAGGTGAATTCCTGCCTCTGCTCTACCATCTTGACTCTACCCCCTACTGAATTTCTAATATCCTAATTTATACCCAAAGAATATTTTGGTTCTCTTCATGTCTAGTTCCCATAATCATAAATATTCTTTGTATCACCCTTACAACCCGATATTGGCTACAGTAGGTTCTTTCCAAATTTTATTTCTGAGAGTTCTCAATAGCTTTAAACATAAATGACAACTTTCAAGCTCCATAGAATTTCAAAAAATATGAGTTGTAAATATTTATTGGATTTTGAAACTAAACCAGGATACTCACTCTCATTCATGCAAGATGCATAAAGAATTTTGGCCTTCTGTATGGCTTCAGTGTCCCTTCTTCTGCTTATTGATTTCTCCAGAAGTGCTGTGAAGTATAAAAAAAATATTAAGTGCTCACCTGTGGATGGTACTATGCTGGATGCCACATAATTCAAGGTAACAGTGATGATTCCTGAAGTCTAGAAATTTAACATTGCAGAACAGACAGTGAATACAAAGAAAGACAGAGATGGGAGTGGCAGAGCTGGGGAGGAAAGGAGAGGAGAAAGGGAAGGCTCATATACAGGGCATGTCCTAAGTAAATTCTGCAGGAAAACAAAAAAAAAATCTTTTTCTAGGCTTCTATTTCCGGTTTCAAAGTTAATGAAAAGCTTGTGTGCCAGTTGAATCTAACTCTAAGCTAGAATATTTATATACTCTACCAACAATAGAAGAGTCAAGAATTTATTTGCTCAAATAAAAAAATTTAAAAATGAAAGGCAAAGTCTGATTTATGCCACTCTGCCCACATTTTCCCACTGAAATACCATACCTAGCTCAATTATAGGATGAGAAATGACATAGTGGAAAGAGCATTTGTATCTGCAATCAGAGGGTCTAGGTTCACATCTCAGCTCTGCCAATGATGATCTCTTAATTCCTAAATCTACAGGTCTTCTTCTGGTCCTTATCCTTCTCTATCTATGGCATATGACATCTTTAATCATCTCCTTTGGGATATACTGTCCTCTGAGTTTTAGTGACAGTACTCTCTTCTGTTGAGCCTCTTACCTATCTGATCCCTTATTCTCAGTGTCCTTTATCATTTCATCATCCACATCACATCCCCTAGCTCTGGGTTTTCCCTAAAGTTTTGTCCTAAGTCTTCTACATTTCCCCTCAATGACTTCATCTGCTCCTATAGATTAATTACCATCTCTATGCCAGCGACTTTCCATGCACTCAGCCCCAGCCTCTTCCCTGAGCTGCAGTCCAATTACCCATTGAACATTTCAAACTTGATATCCCAGAGATATAGTAATCTCAACATATCTAAAACTAAGCTCAATATCTTTCTCCTATTTCAAACTTCCCTATTTCTATCAAAGGTACCATTTTATATCCATATCTGTATCTGACATATAGTAGGGACTTAATAAATGTTTATTGATTGACTGAAGATTATTAGCTAGCTGACATCAAATTTTGGTTATATAACTTGCATTCTATCTTAAGTAAATGCCATCTTGCATTGAAATGTCATTTTTAACTCTGGATCGTGGGGAGAAATTCAAAGGAAAGTGAAAGCTTTTGATCAGTTGCTAAATAGATGGTGAATCCTAACAAGTTCTAGGAACCAGGAGGCAGCAGTGAGAATCTAGGTACATATTATTCTGACACTTAAATACATTGAATGAATTACCCAGGTCACTTCACTACCAATATGGCAGAGGCACAACCCAAAGCCAGACCTTCTGATTGCAAATCCAAGGATCTATACACTACCCATAATTTCTTCAACAGAAGACTCATAATTCATCATCTAATGACCTTCCTAAACTATCTTGTATTGAACTACTTTGTATATATTTGTATTTATTTACTTTACATATATATATGTATGACAACAAAAATGTGGTGTGTATTTATGTGTATATATAATGGATTATACATGTATGTACATACATGTGTACACAAAACATATACACGTGTGATATACATATGTATATTGTGTATGTGCATCCCCTCCCTACCCCATTCCTCACTTATGTCTGTAGCATGTAGAATGTTTGCAGTACCTGAGCAATATCAAATATCTAAATAAAATTTGGACTATCTACCTCTGCATGTTTTTCCATAGCAACTTAAGAACTGTAACATGCAGACATATATGTATATGTTTATGTGTGTAGGTATATATACATGTATATGTAGATATAGATACTTCTTGTCTTTGTTAGAATGTAAGGCCCTTGAAAGCAGAGATTTTTTCATTTGTTGTACTTGTATCCCCCAAGCCTAGCATAGTACCTAACACATAGTAGGTGCTTAATAAATACTTGTTGATTGATCTGTTGAACCACATGTAAATATATTTGGGACATGGGACTTGTTTGGTCACAAAAAAGAGAGGTTAGAAAGCTTAACTAACTTGACCTGCTTTAAAATTGCTTTAAAAATTAATATATTAAAGGACTGTTTAAAACATAGCTACATAAACAAGATGGCAAGCATGCAACTATTTTGAAGCTGCTTTTGAAATGAATCTCTAATTTAAAAGCACTGATGTCTTTTAAAGAGAATAAACTAATTAGCCTTTCAGTTCTTTTATGAACTAGGAAGACTTGGATGGGGGGGGGAAGTGCTTTAAATGCATTTAAATGTAGCAGTCTGACATAATGAATGTGAGATAAAGGTTCCCGATTTTACTGGGAAATCACAGCAATTTCCACATCTAACTACAGAGAAACTCTATTTTCAATGGATACTGCCTATCAATTTGAAAACAATCTTGTCTCCTACAAAACCAGAGTATAACAAATGTTCTTACTGTACCCTGGGTAGCCGTGAGACCCACTGTACAGAGGTAATCAGATTAACAAATAATTACATATTCTCTGAAGAGAATCCTACCCTTATTCTAAAGATCGTGCCTTTCAAAAATCTGTAACCAAGAGCCCGTATCTTGTTGCATAAACACCTAAGTAACAGAAATGCATGGAGAGTTTTAAAAATAGGAAGAGAAAAGGGGAGAGGGAAGGGCATTGAATCTATTCCATTTATTATTTCTTTCCTGTGGGTTATCACACAGCAATAAAACTAACGCCATCCCCACCCAAAAAAAGGAGGGGTGAAAGGAATGATAAAAATAAGATAAAATTGTAGCCACATAAAATTCTGTTAAAATCTCTTCATTTGCCTTTTCACTCTATCATTTCAATGCAAATGAGATGAACCTGCTGCTGTCTTTAAATTGCTAGGGAAGGTAGATATTCCCAATTTCATTTAGGTGTTTGATGTTCAGGTGCTACAAATATTCCACATGCTATATACATCAATGAGGAGAGGGGCAGAGAGTGGAGAGAGAAGCCAGGGATTAAGGAAAATTTAAAATACTAAGTATTTACATAGGTGTGTGCCCAAGGTAAGCTGCATGCATGGGGGGCTAGGAAGGGGAAGAGATGGGGAGAAGGCATGAAGATGCTAAACAGTTCCATTCCAATGCAGAAACCATACACAGACCTAATTTGCTCTGCTAAGAGAACTGACTTGGTTTTTTTTTTTGCATTTGTATATGTCAAAATTTGTTGTTGTTTTTTAAAAGCAGATCCAAATACCCAGTGTTCTTGTGATGCCATCTTTCTCTTCTTTCCTCCCTTCCACATCAGTCCTTCCAAATATGCCCCCTCCCATCCTGAGAAGAGGTAGCATTTATATGCAGACCATGAGGTAGCAATCAGTGGGTAGCCACCATATTTATGCATCTGTGAATGTGAATTAGTGAAAAGGGAGAAAGAAATCTAGCCTGGGGATTCATTAATGAATGAGAAACAAAGCCTATCCCAGGCAGCTCCTCCTGTCATTAAAGTGTCCCTAAAGTCTTCTAAGTACAGTTCTACAGTACTGTTACCTCTCCACAAAACTTTTATTGTTTATTCAAAGGAACTTTCAAATATCATCCCACACACACACACCCATTCAAGTACCTTTTATTGTGTTGCCACAGAAACTGAAACCTCTGATTTATTCAGCCCTCTTGGCAGAACAAAGCTCAGGGTTTAAAATGTGTTCACAGTCACTTGTGCATTATAAATGTAAGCTTCAAACACCCACTATCCATACCTAGAGAAAACAAAAACAACCCAAAACAGCACTATAGGCAGCCTTGTGATGAATAAACCTAGTCTGCTGTTTTTATCACCCTTCCTTTACCTGTTCCTAATGGCAGAAAAAACAACAGAATTTATTAAGTGTGTGCTACATGCTAGTGGGGAGCTAGGGGGCTCAGCAGATACAGTGCCAGGCCTAGATTCAGGAAGACTCATCTTCCTGAGTTCAAATCCAGCCTCAGACACTCACTAATTGTGTGATCCCGGGCAAGTCACTTAATCCTGTTTGCCTCAATTTCCTCAACTGTAAAATGAGCGGGAGAAGGAAATGGCAAACCATTCTAGTATCTTTGCCAAGAAAATCCCAAAGAGGGTCACGACAAGTCTGACATGACTGAACAACAAAACTACATGCTATGATAAGGTACTGGAGAATCCTAAGAGGTCTAGGTACCATATCACCACCTACCCCCCTATTTTACAGATGCAAAAGCAGAGGTTAGGTGATTGTATTAGCCAAGGTCACACAGGAAGTAAGCGTCAGAGCTAATATTCATCCTTGGTCCTTTGATGCCATATCCAGTGCTCTTTTCACCTCTCCTGCTCTCAAATAGTTTATGAGTTACAAAATAGTGGTCCTTGGGGGCAGCTAGGTGGTACAATGGATACAGTACTGGCCCTGAAGTTAATCCAGCCTCAGGCCAAACACTTGACACTTACTAGCTGTGTGACCTTGGGCAAATCACTTAACCCCAATTGCCTCACAAAAAAAAAAAAAAATTGTGGTCTTCCATCTACAAAATGAGAAGATTTGAGGCAGCTACGTGGCAAAGTGGATAAAGCAATGGCCCTGAAGTCAGGAGGACCTGAGTTCAAATCTGACCTCAAACCAAACATTTGACACCTTCTAGCTGTGTGACCCTAGGCAAGTCACTTAACCCCAATTGCTTAAAAAAGAAAAAAAAAGGCAAAATGAGAAGGTTGTACTAGAGAACTTACCCCTCAGATAATAACAATAGCTAAAATTTACAAAGCATGCCTAAGCTTTACAAAGCATTTTACATATGCGGTTTCATTTGATCCTCACAATCAAGGCTATTATTATCCACATTTTACAACTTAGGAAACTGAGGCTACAAGTTAGGTGACTTGCCCAGGGTCACACAGTTGGAAATTTTTCTGAGGCAGGATTTTAATTCAAGCCATCCTGATTCTTTCGTACCTACTCTGCCCATAACATCAAACTTTAGAAGAAATGGGAGCTAGTAAAACACAT